ATGATGTACTGGACAGTGTAAGTACTTGTGTGTAAAGAAAAGAGTTTAAAACTGATTTATAAATAGTAAAATGTTTACAGCAGATTGTCAAAGCAGTGCGACAACTGTTCACTTGCAAGTTTTTGCTAGTTTTGTGTTCAATAACTTCTTCTGCTAGTTTTCTCTTCTTCTCAATTTTACGCTCTATTTTTCTTTTACTTACGCTCTCGCTGCAATGTGTTACTGGAGAAGTTACTACACAAACCTTATATTCGCTTTCATTATTCAGCTTTCGTAACCATATTCGAACATACAACAACACAGGTGCATACATGTATCGGATGGAGCAGTACTTTAACTCTAGAATACTAACGTTCGCCTGTTTCAGGAACGCTTTTAATGATCAAAGTAAACGTTCGCGCCAACTCAGCTTAGCGCTGTACGAGGCTGTTAGCAAAGGCTTATTGTACAGTGGCCTTGCGCGGCTGAGTTCCACGACCTCTTGACGCCTGACAGGCGAACGTTAGTAGTAAAGGTAATTTTGTTTGCTGTACTTATTTCAGTTTTTAACATGTTTGTTGGCTATTTTCAGTTTTGAACTTAATTTTTTTTTTACTTTTCGAGAGGGGTTCCTATGAAGAACAAGTTCTAAAATGGTTGGAAGAAATATCGTTGAATGGAACCGATAGTGAGAACAATTTGGAAGAAGATTTCAGTGAATGCGCCTTATGAATAAAAACTAAGCAGTTGCTTTTTCTTAAGATTTCAAACCTTTTGCTTGATTTATTCGAATAACTTTACGTAAAGGATCTGAAATTTTAAGAAAAAAGCATTGCTTAGTTTTTATTCAAAAGGCCCAATGTGATACAAAAAAGTCAATTTAATTTTTAAGTACAGGTCACAATAGAAAAGATAAACAACTAATTCCTTTTAAATGTGCAAGTAAATATGAATACCTTTAAGATAATTTATGGATTGTTTGAAGGCGTTCACTTTTAAATGTTTTTTTTTATAATGTTTCAAAATGACCCCTCTCAAAAAGGTTATAAAATATGTGTTATTTTCAATACGAATTATTTTTATTAATATTAAAAAAAACTATTAAATTATTTTATTTTTTTACTTTAAAAACATATGTAATATGTTTAATCCCATTTTTTTAAAGAAATTTAAGGTTTTAGAAAGACAGAACTTGTACTTTTTTTTTTAAAGTAGCCTCACAGGCGAACGTTAGTATTAAAGGAATAAAAAATATGGTTTGTATTCTAGGGTTAAGCTCGTACTCGTAGCTTCGAAAAGTTTAGAGCGCAGTTTATTGGTATCTAATTTGAATATCGTAGCTAAATTTACTAATATTTAAACTCAAACCTTCGAAAATAAGTTAAAACCACCTTCTCCTCACAATAAGCAATATTTATCACCTCAATTCGCTTCCACCCACACTTAAGGTTAAGCACAAACACCACCTTAACTTTACAAGAAACCCACTTGGGCGGCCTCTAATGGCAGTAGGCACCTTTGCATAGAATAAAATGCGCAATTTTTCATGCCAATTTTTAAATGTTAAATATTTTCTTTTTGCAACGCTCATTTCTTCCTACAGCCAAGGTGTAAAGGTGTAAAGGTCACACGTTTAGCAAAATTGTTTACATTCACTTTACGAAGTTTAGTCATAAATTTTCTTCAATTTCTACATCGCAATGACAATATATTTTGCCAACTCGGCAACGGTGGCGGCAGCGGCGGCACAAAGCGCACAGAACCTTGAAATAGTTCGGTTAGTTAAGCGAAACGGAAGTGCAAGTAGTAGTGCGGATTTGGTAAAAAGTTCTCTGGCTGCAACTATGAGTGGAATTGTTTTTGTCAGCGCAAGAGCCCTTGAAGACAACTGGCTGCATGCAGCAATGCGTCGAGAAGTCAAAACAACATAAACAAAGCAATAACGCAAGCAACATTGACAGTTTTCCGATTTGGCGTATTTTATTATTTGTTGTTTGCTTTCTTCTTTTTTTTTGTGTACGCCTGCACTTTTGACGGCAATAAGCATTGGCAGTGAAGCTGCAGAAAGCGAGCTTTAAGAAAGTGCATAGCTGGTAGCTTTGGTTTTAGTTTCCAACTTTTCTTCAACATTTCCCATTCTCATGCCAGCTAGGTTTTTAAAGTTGAGAATATGTATCTAAAAGTATCCTTTGAAACACGCTCGCTCCGTTGAGTCCAATGTCCGTACACTCACCTGCTCAAGAGTATTTTAGAGTTTGCAGAGACTAACTATTTAAAACTATATGATTACCATCTCAAAATTTAGGATTAGTGAAGATTTTGCAGCAGAAATTGAGTCTTTCAAATTGTGTTGTAATATCGTTCCTGATACCTAACCTTCTAAAATGGCTACCTAATCTAAAATAATGCAGTGCATGGCCGTCATCGATTCGCCAATGCTTAGCGAGTGGCGAAACGAACGAACTCAATCAGGTACAACCAGACATAGTGAACAGAAAAGTGGCGAATAGAAGGGGCTGCAATTTGTGCAAAAGGACTATGGCGTTTGTGGACTTTCTCGATATCGAGCGGATCTCTCTCCACGTTCGGGTATAGGTCAGGGAGCGAAACTGGTCAGGTAAAGTTTATTCACTGCATGTTCTGTGACTGGGGTACCTATACGGCTTGCTGTACACTTCCTTCAGCTAGAGGAGAAGTTGTAAGCTGTTTGTGGTGACGGATAGATTTGTAAACAAACTTTATAATCTGCCCCAAGGCTGCTTGAACTGGGTCACTTAGTGGTCTGAAGACTTTCCAGAAATTGTTCCTACTCACTAGGTAATACATATAAGACACCATTGGATTTTTTCCTTAATTGGAAGCATTATTTCAGCGCTTTCTTACATAGTCAAGTACTTCGTATTGACTTCAAATTTAATGGAAATGGCCACTCATTTGTATTTTGTTTCCATATCGGTTTTATTTCTTGTTGTAATTCATCGTGTTTCCCAATTACGCTGGATCACAATTATTAATTTTGGTTTTGTTCTCCAGACGCCACTATCCAATTTGTATGTAGAATCGCTGATTCCCAAAATCGAGTTAATTCTTTTTTGTGTGGATAAAAAGATAGTGGTTTCACTTAATAAGGTATATCTTACGAACTAATTAAGCAATCGTAATGCGGGATACGGCACATAAAAGCAAATAAAATTCTCCATACATCAATTTTCGATACATCAATTTTCGTGTATACATTAATTTTCGAAAGCCCTGATAGTTTCTGAGAAATTAATTACAACTTCAACAACTTTTTTTTAAATGTTAAGGTAAGCAGTTTTATTGCCCATTAAATTTTAGTACGTTATAGTTAAAATTTCAAGACGGTAGAAAATTGCGTTGATTTTTAATCTTTTTTTTTGGCTGACGGTGTTGCACATTTTCTTCCGTGTATTTAAAATTTTCGAGCATATTTGTGTTTAATTTGTATGTTCCCTTGGATTCGCTGCCGTTGAAAATTTTCAGAAAGTTGCAAAAAAGGGTAATTGATAAAGATAGGATCCCTGAAAATATGGCAAAACGCGTACATAATTTAGGAAAAGGGCAAAAAAAAAAAACAAAAATTGTAAAAGGGTCTAATTGCTCCTTCAGTCGAGCAGCGGAAGTACCTACTGGCCAGGCATTTTCTAGTGCTAAATCAATTATTACAACATTAGTATCGATAAGTTTTTTGAGCTAGGAATAAGCTACATTTTATTTAATAAATATGTTGGGTTTATAGTTTACATAAATGGCTGAATATGGCGTTCGAGTAAAAACTACACGAAAAATATAAATTCAAACTTATTTTTGAATAGGGTTACCACCTGGCTGATAATTGAAGTTAACTTATGTATTAGACATCTTCAGACATCAGTATGAACAAAAGATATTTTAGTATGTTTTAAAGATAGATAACTTCGAACAGGGTTGCCACCTTTTAAATGAAATAAATTCTTATATGTTCAATTTACTGCAATGTGGGTATTCAGCGAAGTATTTTTAAGAATACCTTTAGATATATGAATTTTTTACTAGGGATGCCACCTAAAAAATTATGTATTTATAGAACTTATGTATGCTTCATTTTACTGCAATATGGGTATCAAACGAAATATTTTTAAGCATGCTTTTAGTTAGAAACATTTTTGAATAGGGTTGCCTCCTAAAACACGTTAAGTTAGTTAATTAACGCAACTAATTTATATATGTAAACAAAAGAAACATTTTTAAGAGTACTTTCAATTGTAAATATTTTTGACCAGGGTTTAAACATAAAAAAAGATTTTTTTTTTAGCAGTGAATCTCGGTAATAAATAGTATAATATAAAACTATATAGAAAATTTAAATAAATAGGCAGAAGAAGGGTTATTCCACTCCTTGTTTTGCATATATTTTTTTTTTTTAAATTCAAAGATTTTTTTTGTTACGATTTCTCCAAGTGTAGTCATTGTTTTGGCATTGATTTCATTGTTTGCTCTACTTTTCACTTTTATTTTGTAACTTTGTGATTTTGCCATGCTTTGCACGCTATTTGTCATTTACAATTTATGAATTTGGTTTTCGGTTTGCGCCTCAACAAGCAAAGCCTCATAAATTTTTATGAATCGCCAATACAAATGTATGCGATATGTAAATAGTTAACCTTTATCAAATATTCATGCGGAATATATATTCAAACATACATACAAACACAAATACAGGATTTATTATCTTAAATCTAGAAAAACAATAACAACCAACTTAAACAAACAAATCATGAATTCGTTAACCAACATTTTTCTATTTTTCTCTCTCTCTCTTCTTTCTCGTTCTCTCTCCACCATAGCTTCATCGATTCATCATTGCGCTTGTAAATATAACAAAATAAAAAGCTTAGAATGCTACATACACATAAATCAACTTGTTTAAAATCATTGCAATAAAATTAAAATACTTAAACAAAAAAATAAAAATTAAAAAAAAGTCTAATGCAATAAAATAAAAAATTGCTAAACCGCAAAAACACATTAAATATTCATGACAAATAAATCATGTGCATTCGCGTCTTCATAAATACATACATACAAATGTAGCTGTAAATATGTTAGGTTTTCGCAACGCCACAAATAAATCATAAAAAGTTAAACAAAAAAAAGAAATAAAAATATAACTATTCTAAATAATGAAATGCATAAACTTCATTCGATTCTAGTCATCTAAAATGCACCAAAAGCCATTGACAGGATTTATTTAAACATTTCTAAAAAAAATCTATTAACGCGCCACACTTTCCAAACATAACCTATAAGTTGCGCTGGCGCTTACAACAAACGCACACAACGTACGAAAGCACTTGATATTTGGTAATTTTCATACTCGCCTAAAAAAACATCAATAAAAGCAGTAATTTAAAGTTGTTGACCTTTAAATTTAATTGAAAATGCATTGTTTATGCTTTATAACTAAAATTAAGTATCGTAAAAATTTAGTTAAAAAAAGCTAACTTCACGTTTTGCCACTCTCATTGCAAGCCAGCTCACAGTTTAGGGCTCAATGAATAGCACTTGAAATTTTAACTTAAAAAAAAATAGTAAAAGAAATTATGGAACAGTCATTTCAAACCTTGTGTTCTCATTTAAATGTTGCTTTCAAATTAGCCAAACCACAACAAAAGGCGGGATTCAATTGGCAAAAGGCAGCGCGCTCGTTTGAATGTTCACATTTAGTGCAGCAACAGCTGGAGCTTTTGGCATCGCTGCAAACAACAGCAGCTGCTAGAGGGTGATCTTCCGCGAGCAACAGCGAGAGGAATTTAAAGCATTCGAAGAAATATTCAAAGCATTTAAAGACTTAAAGGTAAGTGCTTAGGAAATTGTACTAAGTAAGTGACAGAAAATGTTTATTATTTTTGTTGTCTAATAAAAATGTCTGCAATTCTCAACTGTAGAATAAATGTTGTTTTTAATAGCACTGCTTATGAATAATATAATTATAAGACGCACTGTCGGCATAGAAGGGGGTTTTCAATAAGGAACTTTAAAAAAAACAAAAAAGAAACGAGATTTTTTTAAATTGAAATACAATAAATCAACTTCATACCTTCTTACCACCGAACGGATGCTTTCCTACCTCCACTAAATATTAAAAATGGCATTCAGTAGTGCCAGAGCTACTTGAGCGGATTGACTGTGCGATACCAGTTACAATGATGATGGCTTAGGGATCATTAACTTAAAGTGGGTGTACTACAGAGGTCTATTCTTGGATGGAATCTTGCATCTCCTCATCTCAGAATGTGCAACGTTTTTTGGCTTTGCGGACGTCGTAACGTCACAATCTTGCTTAGATAAATCACTGGAGCCGAGGTAGTAACAAAAGCGTAAGCGCAAGAATGGCCGCGCAATAAATCTCGCACACTTTCAACACACAAGGCTGAAAAAGTCATAAAATCAAAGTAGCTTGTTTAGTATCTTCTGGTATCAGTATCTCTGATTCTGAGAGCATCTTAACTCGCCAACTCCCAGGTAGCCACAAACACATGTAATGGCTGAGTTCGTGAAATCGATACTCCTACTTGGTTAAATAGGTAGCACGGAGATGAAGATTTCTTTCACCGATTCTTATTGGGTATGCATGTTTAAAGCTCTGGACACGAAAGCAGAATAACGTGCTCTTTCTCTGTTCTCGAGCGGAAAACTCAATACCAATCTGGGTAGCGTTGCCCCACCCAAAATACATAATGGAGAGTAAAGCTTTGGTGATACAGCAACTCCACAACAGAAAACGGATTAGACACAGATTTGAACGGGGGGCAAGATTAGCTGCACAGTAAGCCAGATGAAAATACCCTACTCCTGCGAAATGTACTTCTTAGTCGTAACTACCAAACAAATGAGGTGAACAGGTTTAATTACTAAATCAAGACAAATAGCTCTTGAAATATACTTGACAGTGACGAACGTTCTGGTCGAACCGCCTCGCGATAAAACACATAAATGTTGTACCGGGCGTATTAACACATATTCGTTTGTTAAAGTCTCACAATGAATCTTTCTGTGTTATGATTTCGATGCTTAATCCTCTGAAATACATCCATATTAAAGAGGAGCGTAGTACCCACTGTGATAGAAATCTAACTACTATTTTCACGGACGGATCGAAGTTGGTCGGCAGATTTTAAAGAGTTTAAAGAGGTGTGGATTTTTGCAGGCGCTTTTAAGGCAGAGGCGGCAGCCTGATTGTAATGGTCAACACATGCCCTGTTGGGCTTAGCGGAAATCAGGGCTCTAACATGGCTCACGGTACAATCGCAACTGTTTGGGAACAACTTGAACTCTCTATCGATCGCATCGGATTTATTTCAGATCAAGCTTATTTGGGTAACAGGATACAATGTAATTGCAGTAAAATAGCTAGAAGAAGGCACCCCATGAGGTCATCTTTACTAACAGCGAGGGACGATGAATACTTTTTGCCACCTGTGTGTCATTTTTCTACAGATTGGTTTATGGTCACTGAGCAAAAACCGCAGCATGCAAGTTTGCAAAGTATTTCCCGCTAGTAATCGACCGCAGGCGGCCAAAGGACCTCTGCAGCTGGCTTTGCAACAACTCTCGGTTCGGACAAGGGACCTCACTGAACACTGTCTGTTGGGGATTGGCTTAATATCGTTACGCAACCCTTTTGGCGTAGCTGTTTAGAGGGAGACGAAGTGAAAATATCACACAAATCGGCACAAATTGCATCAAAACTCCAACAAAAATAATTATTAATTAATAAAATAATTGACATGAAATAGTTTGTCCGATTTCTAGATCAATGTTGGCCAGAGAGGGCTTACGGCATTTACAATGCAAGAATTCGTGAAAACGCCGATGGTCTCTAAGTAAATGCCATTGATGGCTTTTCCGTAGTGTATAACCTCCAGTGGTTGTGATTGTGATTGTAAACAAAACTGTTACAAGATACAGAATAGAGGCGTAAGACTAAGGTTATAATTAAGACTGAACACTAAGCCCAAGATGAATACTAAGATCAATATGTATAGGAAGAAGAATGCGAAGGCGAATTGACGAATATGATACAAAGAGGATGACGAATATAATGACGAATATGATGACAACTATGCAGACGACCACGACGAATACGAAGACGAGTACGAAAACGAAGACTAAGACAAAGGGGAATACAAAGTGTAATCCGTACATAACGACTAGTGACTACGAATACATAGGCGAAGGCAAGTATGAGGAATACGAAGACTAATCTTCTTCTTCTTATTTTGGCGCTTCAACTGTTTGGGAGCTTAGGCCGAGCCCAGAAAACTTCGCCAATTGCCTCTATCCTTTGTGAATTTGCGCAAACGTTGAATTTTATGGGCTTAACTATATTCATGTCGTTATAAAGCTCATACAATTCGTCATTCCATCTTCTTTCGTCGATCACGCGAACCGCTCCACATATGTATCTTGCGCAGAATATTTCTTTTGAAAGCACTTAATACCTTATTAACTTTGTTTGACATTGTCAATGTTTCTACGCTACGGAAGACTTGTAGAGCGTGATTTTTGTTGTTCGAGAGAGGACCCAAAGTGACAAAGTACGAAGACTAATACTAAGCTTAATACTTATAGAGAGTAAGGCAAATTTAAGTAGTATCAAACGAACTCGAAATCAACCGACGGAAGTTTCACTTATGTATTGTGGCCCGAGCGCACCGAAGATTGTTTTTTTTTTGCTTCAACTTTTGCCGGAGACAGATTTTAGGCCTTGGTTGCAGATCTATAGTTTTTTACCAATGGCAGTAATTTGTAAAATTTTCGGCTTGTTCACCGACTGACACGTTCTATCATCAACGTGAATTCCAAGCCGCTGCTCGACCTCCTTCGCCGAGCTGTTAAAAATGGTTACCGAGGACTTCATAGGGACGAAAGTAAGTACATACATATTGTCGTATCGAAGAACTAAACCATAACGGAGTGATAGCCATTTAATTTTCAATCCATATCATCTATGTCATTGCCCGACGCCAATATCAAGCAAACGTCATGGTTTGACATTATTTGTTTTGTTGCCTTAGCATTTAATAATAGAGCACAACCCACTTTTGGTCTGCTGCGTACGTCACCTAATGCCAGATTTGTGTCGAATAGTATATAATATAAATTAGAATAAATGCTTCTATACATAGAAAGGAAACTCCCAAGCACACATATGAATGTGCATATGTTTGTTATCGCTTTCGACGGGCATTGCTATATATACATATGCATATATGCTTGTACACGATCATATTTATAAACAGTAGTGGCCACATAGCTAGGGACACTACTACTTTATCCGTTCTGAACATTTATTTTTTCTTTAGTAATTTTTAATTTCTTTTTCCTAAAAATATAGTTTATGCTACAACGAAAAACATACAGCTCAAAGTTTCCAGCCTTTTACAAGATTTATAAAATTTCGCCAAATTTCAGATAATGGTCTCCAATATTTTAAACCTTTTAAACACAATTTCTTTACGCATTTTCTTTCATACAAACGATGTTCGAATTCTGTTTTAACACTTTCACTAAAATAAAATATAAAATAAAAAAATGTAAAGAAGAAGTGTCTCTAATTATGTGCCCACTACTGTATTTATGTATGTATACAAACTACGTTCGAATTCTATTTTAACACTTTCACTAAAATTTAATGGGCTATAAAATTGCACACCCGAATTTGTTCTAAAAATTCTCATAAAAATTTTTTAAATTTTATGAAAATTTTTTTGAAATTTGGCGACTTTTTGTAAAATTTTTGAAAGGATTGTAGATTTGAGTTGCATGCTTTTCCTTGCGGTATAAAATAAAAAATAAAAAAATGTAAAGAAGAAGTGTCTCTAATTATGTGCCCACTACTGTATCTACAAATGTATGCATACAAACTATGTTCGAATTCTGTTTTAACACTTTCACTAAAATTTAATTGGCTATAAAATTGCACACCCGAATTTGTTCTAAAAATTCTCATTAAAAATTTTAAAATTTTATGACCTTTTTTTTGAAATTTTGCGACTTTTTGTAAATCTTGTGAAAGGATTGTAACTTTGAGTTGCTTGCTTTTCCTTGCGGTATAAAATAAAAAAAAAGAAATGTAAAGAAGAAGTCTCCCTAATTATGTGGCCACTACTGTATTACAAATGTATTTATGTATGTATGTATACGCATTTGTACGAGCAAAACCTGCCAAAAATTTAATTTTGAGAATTTTCAAACACGTCCGGCAGATGTCAAGCGTACAATCAAGTTTAATTTCTAGCCTGTTCACTCGTCAGTATACATGTAACTGTTTTATATAAATATGTACATTTGCGACTAAAAATAGCCGATAGCGTTATTGCAGCTCTCTAACGATGTTGCTGTGCAAGCGCAAAATTTAATTTAACGTAAATCCAATCAAACTCACTGGCAGCATAACTTGGCAAAAAAAGGTAGCTCAGCACAGAAAAAAAAGAAAAAAGTCACTAGCAAAAATGTATGAGCCAACTGAAAAAAGAGACAAAAATTGCCATTGAACAATCGACATTTGGTCAGAAAGCAAAGTGTTAAAAAATTAAAAAAAGCTATACAAGAAAACTAAAAATCAGGCAATAAGCCAATAACGAAATGGGAAAATTTGTGAAAATTTCGTAAAATAATAGGCGCTCTTGTTGCTCGCTTCCAAAGGCGCTTTTAACTGTTAAGAGGTTCAGCAGTTTTTTTTAGGGGTCAAATGTTATCAAGCAGTTGAAAAACAGGTTGTCAACGTCAGCCAATTTTCGATTTTGCTTGTAAAGTGCAATGAAATTAGAAGTATTCACAAAAAAAAAAAAA